ACTTGTTAGTCTCTAAGGTGCCACAAGTACTCCTTTTTAGGTAAGAGATTGAAGTCCAGGACCTCCATGGTACCATTCTCCGAAATGCTTCCAGGTTCCACACACAGGGCCAGTTAGACAGGCAGAACTGCAGGGTCTCAATGCGTGGATGAGATGATGGTGTAGGGAGGGGGGGATTTAGATTTATTAGGAACTGGGGAAACTTTTGGGAAAGGGGGAGCCTATACAGGAAGGATGGGGTCCACCTAAACCAAAATGGAACCAGATTGCTGGCACTTAAAATTAAAAAGGTCGTAGAACAGTTTTTAAACTAAGGGCTGGGGGACAGCCGACAACTGCGGAGGAGCACATGGTTTGGACAGAGACATCCCTTCGGGGAGGATCTACTAATAGAGATTGTCTATGTCCTAGTAAGGAGAAGATTATAAAATACAGGTAGGATCTGATGAGAAACAGTCAAATGAAAAAAAGTCTCATTCAATTACATCATGTAATGGGAAACAGCTAAAAAGTGACAAGTTTTAAAAACGTTTATATACCAATGCTAGAAATCTAAATAATAAGATGAGTGAACTAGAGTGCCTCATATTAAATGAGGATATTGATATAATAGGCATCACAGAAACTTGGTGAAATGAGGATAATCAATGGGACGCAGTAATACCATGTTACAAAATATATCGGAAGAACAGAACAGGTCGTGCTGGTGGGGGAGTGGCACTATATATGAAAGAAAGCATAGAATCACATGAAGTAAAAATCTTAAATGAACCAAACTGTACCATAGAATTTCTATGTACGGTAATTCCATGCCCTAATAATAAGAATATAGCACTAGAGATCTATTACTGACCCCCTGACCAGGGTGGTGATAGTGACTGTGAAATACTCAGGGAAATTAGAGAAGCTGTTAAAATAAAAAAACTCAATAATAATGGAGGATTTCAACTATCTCCATATTGACTGGGTATATGTCACCTCAGGATGGGAAGCAGGGATAAAGTTTCTTGACACCTTAAATGACTGCTTCTTGGAACAGCTAGTCCTGGAACCCACAAGAGGACAGGCAATTCTTGATTTAGTCCTAAGTGGAGCACAGGATCAGGTTCAAGAGGTGAATATAGCTGGACCGCTTGGTAATAGTGACCACAATATAATTAAATTTAACATTCCTGTGTTGGGGAAAACACCACAGCGGCCCAACACTGTAGCATTTAATTTCAGAAAGGGGAACTACACAAAAAGGGGAGGTTAGCTAAACAGAAATTAAATGGTACAGCACCAAAAGTAAAATCCCTGCAAGCTGAATGGAAACTTTTTAAAGACCATAATAGTGGCTCAACTTAAATGTATATCCCAAATTAAAAAACATAGCAAGGGAACCAAAACAAAGCCACCATTGCTAAACAACAAAGTAAAAGAAGCAGTGAGAGGCAAAAAGGAATCTTTTAAAAAGTGGAAGTTAAATCATATTGAGGAAAATAGAAAGGAGCATAAACTCTGGCAAATGAAGTGTAAAAATATAATTAGGAAGGCCAAAAAAGAATTTGAAGTACAGCTAGCCAAAGACTCAAAAAGTAATAGCAGTTTTGTTTTTTTTAAGTACATCAGAAACCCGAAGCCTTCTAAACAACCAGTGGGGCCACTGGACGATTGAGCTGCTAAAGGAGCACTCAAGGACAATAAGGCCATTGCGGAGAAACCAAATGAATTCTTTGCATCAGCCTTCATAGTTGAGGATGTGAGGGAGATTCCCAACCCTGAGCCATTTGTTTTAGGTAATAAATCTGAGGAACTGTCCCAGATTGAAGTGTTATTAGAGGAGTTTTTGGAACAAATTGATAAACTAAACAGTAATAAGTCACCAGGACCAGATGATATTCACCCAAGAGTTCTGAAGGAACTCAAATGTGAAATTGCAGGACTACTAATTGTAGTCTGTAACCTATCATTTAAATCAGCTTCTGTACCAAATGACTGGAGGATAGCTAATGTGATGCCAATTTTTAAAAAGGGCTCCAGAGGTGACCCCGGCAATTACAGGCTGGTAAGCCTGACTTCAGTGCCGGGCAAACTGGTTGAAACTATAATCAAGAACAAAATTATCAGACACAGATGAACATAATTTGTTGGGGAAGAGTCAACGTGGTTTCTGTAAAGGGAAATCATGCCTCACCAATCTACTAGAATTCTTTGAGGGTTGTCAACAAGCATGTGGACAAGGGGGATCCAGTGGATAAAGTGTATTTAGATTTTTAGAAAGCCTTTGACAAGGTCCCTCACCAAAGGCTATTGAGCAAAGTAAGCGGTCATGGGATAAGAGGGAAGATCCTTTCATGAACTGGTAACTGGTTGAAAGATAGGAAACAAAGGGTAGGAATAAATGGTCAGTTTTCAGAATGGAGAGAGGTAAATAGTGGTGTCCCCAGGGGTCTGTATTGAGCCCAGTCCTATTCAACATATTAATACATGATCTGGAAAAGGGGGTAAATAAATAGTGAGGTGGCAAAATTTGCAGATGATACAAAACTACTCAAGATAGTTAAGTCGCAGGCAGACTGTGAAGAGCAACAAAAAGATCTCTCAAAACTGGGTGACTGGGCAACAAAATGGCAGATGAAATTCAGTGTTGATAAATGCAAAGGAGTGCACATGGGAAAACATATTCTAACTATACGTATAAAATGATGGAGTCTAAATTAGTTGTGAACACTCCGGAAAGAGATCTTGGAGTCCGTGTGGATAGTTCTCTGAAAACATCCACTCAGTGTGCAGCGGCAGTCAAAAAAGCTAACAGAATGTTGAAAATCATTAAGAAAGGGATAGATAATAAGACAGAAAATATATTGTCTCTATATAAATCCATGGTATGCCCATATCTTAAATACTGCTTGCAGATGTGGTCATCCCGTCTCAAAAAAGATATATTGGAATTGGAAAAGGTTCAGAAAATGGCAACAAAAATTATTAGGGGTATGGAATGGCTGCCAAACGAGGAGAGATTAATAAGACTGGGACTTTTCAGCTTGGAAAAAAAGACGACTAAGGGGAGATATGATAGAGGTCAAAAAAATCATGACTGGTGTGGAGAAAGTAAATAAGGAAGTGTTATTTACTCCTTCTCATAACACAAGAACTGGGGCCACGAAATGAAATTAATAGGCAGCAAGTTTAAAACAAACAAAAGGAAGTATTTCTTCACACAGTACTCGGTCAGCCTGTGGAACACTTTGCCAGAGGATGTTGTGAAGGCCAAGACTATAAAAGGGTTCAAAAAAGAACTAGATGAATTTATGGAGGATAAGTCCATCAATGGCTATTAGCCAGGATGGGAAGGGATTGTGTCCCTAGCCTCTGTTTGCCAGAAGCTGGGAATGGGCGACAGGGGTTGGATCACTTGATGACTACCTATTCTGTTCATTCCTTCTGAAGCACCTGGCATTGACCACTGTCGGAAGACAGGACACTGGCCTAGCTGCACCTTTGGTCTGACCCAGTATGGCTGTTCTTAACAATCCAAAGAATTAGATATGACAAAATATATGGTCCCAACCAAAAGTATCGTTAACTTGTTATTTGTGTTGAGAATGCTCAAAGTCAGCAGGAGGGAGCAGTAGATCAGAGCCTGGGCAGTTGCTTTGGCCACTGTGCTCCTTGCTGCCTCAAATTCCCCCTGGAACCACCCAGTTATTGTATCGTTTCAGTGGGGTTATTTTTTGGGTTTGCCTATTTTTGTGTAAGGAGGGTGCTGGAGGAAATTCCTTCTCATTCCACAGTTCGCTAGATTCATGTATTGTTTCCATTTTTAAAAATAATTGTTGTACACATGGAAATGATATACTGATTTTATTTGGTTGGGTTTTTTAGATACTGTCTGCGTAGAGTTTTAGGAAACAAACATGGAAATGAATGAACTTGGACTATGCTGTTAAATATTTTGAAATGCAGTACATGAACACGATCTTTATTTTCTGATGCATATATAGAACATAACCAAGGTATAAATAATGTTACTTCAGTCAGCACTTCAACCACTTCAGATTAGTGTATTTTTAGAATCTAATCTAGGTAGGTTTTTCTCTGTGTCCATCACAGTGCTATTTTTGGGGTCAGTACATTTAGCAAACTCCCCCACTGCCCCGCCACTACCACCCCCCCCCAAAAAAGTTTATCTAAATAATGTTAAGAACCATCAGATTATTGTCTTCATCGTCAAAACAATGTTGTGGGACTTAAATATTTGTACATTTTGTGAAACTAGCTTTATAAAAAGGTAAATATATATGCAGAATACCACTATTTCCAGACCACTGTTACAATACTACATTATAACCATATTTTAACATCTAGCTTCTACCACTGTTGTTTGACTCACATAGCATCTTCCATATTACTGTCCATCTCTACCTTGACAGTGATTCACTTTCTAGCATCTGTCCAGAGTCTCTTTGCTGTCTGACTCTCATTCAGTTGTATGTGTTCTGATACACAGTAGAACTTGGAATAGTCCAAAATTCTGTGTACCAAATGATATGAGATTGAGGTTAAGAGCAGCAAGACTATAACTGTTGGTTAGAGTGCACACACATTTGAAAAGGAAGTGACAGGTCATTGGGACCCAGAATGGGATTGGACTCAATTAGTTGATAAGGTTGGTTGACGAGGAGATTTCTGTCTGGTATATCTGAAGTCTTACTCCCTAGTCCTTCAATTTATGTGTGGGCAGACTCCTGCACAGAATCCCATTGACTTCATTGGGGCTCCATCTGGATGGAAGGGTCCACCCACATGGCTCTTTTTTCAGGATCAGAACCTTAAAGTAGCAAACTGATATAGCAACTTTAAAATGTTGGGAAGTGCTTCATTATGTTAATATTTTTACTGATAATAAAGTTTCTTGCAACAAGAATGTATTCATTTTGAATCCTAATCCAGGTGCTCAAAGTTTTATTTAAGAATGCATGCAAACAATATTTATGCTTCTCTACAATTTCTTACAGAATAAACTGGATATCGGATATTGTTGTGGTGGTGTCTCTAGAGAACATTGAAACAATGAAGTCTATCATTGAAAAATATGGCCACAAAAGAATTACGGTTGTAGAAGGTGGAATGACTCGCCACCGGTCAATTTTCAATGGACTGAAAATCTTTCCAGAGAGCAAGCTTTCCAGCTGTCCACTCCAGAAACCAGAAGTAGTGATTATCCATGATGCTGTGAGGCCATTTGTCGAGGAAGATACTCTTCTTAAAGTGGTTTTGGCTGCTAAAGAACATGGGGTATGTACAGCACAACACCTGAACTCTGTAAACTCTTACATGGTACAAAGTAAAGTAGGAACTGTATTAATACCTCAACATAGTACCATACATTTTAAATGGAACAAAATATAGGACCCAGTCATGTAAGCAGGTCAGCTTGGGTGGACGTGCTTACAGGATAAGGGCCTTATTTGCCATACAGAATAATATATAACTAGGATATGGAATTAATTTGCAACTTGTAAGGTAGGAAGTTACCAGCCTGATGAGAATTTACTGTGTATGCTTGATCCTGCTGGCCTTTAGTATGCAAAATTTTGTTGACCGATACCTAAATGCTCCAGTGATGCATAGTTTATAGTTATCTAGAAGAGAGAGTAATATTTTTGTGGCATAACAAAGCGCTTTCCCTATTATACTTTTCCATCTCACCCTTTATCACGAATTCCTTCACAAAGTAACTGGCAAAAGTACTGTTCTTATTACATTACCTGATTTCCTTAAAACCCTTAAACACTGACATATTGTGTAGAATTACATACAAGTCTTGTAGATCAGTGTTTGCTGTTTTCTGTGGATACAATGAAATTGAGATCTTATGCTGATGGGAATAATTAAGCATCTGATGGAGTAAGTGAGCTGTAGCTCACGAAAGCTTATGCTCAAATAAATTTGTTAGTCTCTAAGGTGCCACAAATACTCCTTTTCTTTAAGCAGTAAATGGCAGGGAGGTTAGCTAACAGTTAGTTAATGATCAGCTGCAAGCCCTAAACACACCTGGTCATTAACTGCCAGGAAATGCCTGTTTTGGAGATCACTATTTCTATTGTTTTCCTTTATAAAATAGTTTTTGTGTTTGTTGTCTTGAGCTTTGTCTGATGATGTTAATACAGTTTTTGTTTGCAGTACCTGTGTTTTCCTAAAAAGAAAAGGAGTACTTGTAGCACCTTAGAGACTAACCAATTTATTTGAGCATGAGCTTTCGTGAGCTACAGCTCACTTCATCAGATGTATACCGTGGAAACTGCAGCAGACTTTATATACACACAGAGAATATGAAACAATACCTCCTCCTACCCCACTGTCCTGCTGGTAATAGCTTATCTAAAGTGATCATCAGGTGGGCCATTTCCAGCACAAATCCAGGTTTTCTCACCCTCCACCCCCCACACAAATTCACTCTCCTGCTGGTGCTAGCCCATCCAAAGTGACAACTCTTTACATAATCAAGTCGGGCTATTTCCTGCATAAATCCAGGTTTTCTCACATCCCCCCCCACCCCCATACACACACAAACTCATCTCCTGCTGGTAATAGCTCATCTAAACTGACCACTCTCCAAGTTTAAATCCAAGTTAAACCAGAACATCTGGGGGGGGGGGGGGGGTAGGAAAAAAACAAGAGGAAACAGAGTCACTAATCATTAGTACATTAAAAACAGGATATTTCTGAATGCTGTTAGGATTTATAGGAGACATCTTATAAATATCCGTTAAATGGAATTAAAATATGACAGATTTTAATCTGATGCATAGACAAAGCATGGAGGACATGATCTGTAATTTTCTAAGTAATCTCAATGAAATTATTGGGGACTATGACTGTGAGTAAGGTGAGCAGGACTCGGCCCTGTATTTTTAACGGAACTCCTAACATTATTATTCAACAGTCATATAGTAAAACTATGTTCAGTTATGCATCTGAAAAGTATTAAAGTACTGTATTTTCTGCATTGCTACATAAAGTTCTACATGTGAACATATTATATTACCACTTGTCTAGGGGGGCAGGGGTCCCCTCAAGTCCCCTCCAGGCTCCATTTCAGGTCTTTATGCTGTCTTTTTGTCCTTCCCCCAAGCGGGTTCTTGGAGCAAACAAACAAAAGAAGAATCCTCTCCCCTCTCCTCCTGTATGGGAGAGGAGAGGAGAGTTAATGGGAAAATAAAGAGAGGTAAGGGTGGCTTGGAACTCATGCAGTCTTCTTGGGTCTACTCTTTGGTCTTAGTCTAAATGGGGTCTAGCCTCTCCTTATGGCGTGTACTGCTCTGTGGCTGGTTCTTGCCGCTTCAGGAGCAGAGAGGATTGTTATCTCACTTTCAGCAAACCTGTCTAAGGTAGGCTAGCCTCTTCCTGTTCACCACCCCTTCCTGTGGCAGCTTTTCCCTTTAAGCCCCTCCCATCCTCACCAGCCTTGCAGGTGCCCCACGTTGGAATTGAACAGGCCCAGGGGAGCTTGTTAATCTCCTCTCTGTCAGTGTGAGGGTGAGTGCCCTGTCATACGTTGCTATGATTTGTTTCACTTACGTATCATATACTTTAATATGGGATTATTAGCATAGTGTAACCTTCTGTATTAACTGATTGTCACACTTGGGGAAAATTAAAATGCATTTTTACATACCTCTATGTTTAACCATGTTGGGTCATCGCTTTATTCTTTTGATCACTGATTCTGAGAGGTGCTCAGTGATCTCAACTGCCATTTATTTCAGCACTTAGCAGGATCAGGCCTTTTTCTTTACCAGATTAAGGTCCTAGACCTGCAACTCATTGTACATGGGTAGACTGGTGTATTCAGGTGGAGCCTCACTGACCTCACGTGCATAACAGATTGCAGGATCATGATGTAAAATTCTAAATATTTGTATATTGTATAGGCAAAAAAAGTCTTGAACTAGAGTTGAGGAGAATAAATATCAGTAACGTAATGGTTTTAAATAATAATTAATAATAATACAGTTGTTACAAGAACATAATAATTTTTAAAAATCACTCACCTAAGAAATTCAGAGTTCAGGTTAAGCAAAACAGAAACCCAAATGTTTAAATTCTACAGTATCCAAATTGTGCATGAGACAGAATAGAAATTTTGTAATGGTGCTTATGAAAATCATATATTCTATAATTCTTCATCATTTTCTTGAGCCTGATTCCTTTCCTTTTCTTTCTCCACTGCTGGGATTAAGTACCATCAACACCAGAAGGCATCTACTTCATGAGTTGGGTGCATATTGATATTTGGATACTTACACTCAGCTTGGGAAGTTGTAAAGTTTTATTAATACCAGCCTTCCCCATTCTGATGGCTGAAGACAAAACTGTCTCATGTTCAACCTGTTCCCTGCAGTGAACATTACAGTAGAAGGTCAGCAGCATCAGTACGTTTCTGTCTTTTCCACTGAGACAAGGCTACTGCTGAAAAGAGGATGAGGCCTAATGCTTCAGACTCAGTGACATGGAAATGGTGATGCCTAAGATCCTCACAATGGCAGTGCCTCAGATTCCTCACATTTTTTGGAGTTTCCACAAAGATCTTACAGAGACTTCCCCTTACTGGACTTCATTTCCTCAGGGAGTAGTTGATGAAAATTGTGTTGACTCAGGTAGCAGGGCAAGGGCATTGACAGCACTGATGCAGGTGGGAAGGTTGGTGTAGTAGGTAGGGCATTGAACTGGGACTCAGGAGATCTGGGTTGAGTTCCTGATTTAACACAGACTTCCTTGGGCAAATCAACTGTATGTTTCAGTTCCTCATGAGTACAACAGAAATGATAACTTCCCTATTTCAAAAGGCTGTTGTGAGGATAAAATCTGTTTATGACTATGAGGCACTGGGATACTAGAGTGGCAGGAGTATATTGGGAATAAAATTCCCCTGGTGCCTGTCCATTTTGGGGAGTGGGGTAAAGGAAAAGAAGTCATGAAGTAGTAGCTGTATTTGGAGCTGTGGCAGTGGTGTATCAGTCTTAGAAGTGAGTTGTGGCATTCCTTAACTTGTAGGAGTGGGATGAGCCATTTGTTAAAATATGTTTTATGAACATTACATTATGTAAGAGCTCCCAGAGTATATTTATGATTATAAATCCAAATACATAAAGCTCCATGGCAATCGGCTTATATTTTGGTAGGTTGTCTTCATTAGTAAGAGATGAAATAGACTCGACTACTTTTGCTTTAGTGACAGTTTAGAATCATAGAATATCAGGGTTAGAAGGGACCTCAGGAGGTCATCTAGTCCAACCCCCTGCTCAAAGCAGGACCAATCCCCAACTAAATCATCCCAGCCAGGGCTTTGTCACGCCTGACCTTAAAAACCTCTAAGGAAGGAGATTCCACCACTTCCCTAAGTAACGCATTCCAGTGTTTCACCACCCTCCTAGTGAAAAAGTTTTTCCTAATATCCAACCTAAACCTCCCGCACTGCAACTTGAGACCATTAACCCTTGTTCTGTCATCTGCTACCACTGAGAACAGTCTAGATCCATCCTCTTTGGAACCCCTTTCAGGTAGCTGAAAACAGCTACCAAATCCCCCCTCATTCTTCTCTTCCGCAGACTAAAAAATCCCAGTTCCCTCAGCCTCTCCTCATAAGTCATGTGTTCCAGTCTCCTAATCATTTTTGTTGCCCTCTGCTGGACGTTTTCCAATTTTTCCACATCCTTCTTGTAGTGTGGGGCCCAAAACTGGACACAGTACTCCAGATGAGGCCTCACCAATGTCGAATAGAGGGGAACGATTACGTCCCTCGGTCTGCTGGCAATGCCCCTACTTATACATCCCAAAATGCCATTGGCCTTCTTGCCAACAAGGGCACACTGTTGACTCATATCCAGCTTCTCGTCCACTGTAATCCCTAGGTCCTTTTCTCCAGAACTGCTGCCTAGCCATTTGGTCCCTAGTCTGTAGCGATGCCTGGGATTCTTCCGTCCTAAGTGCAGGACTCTGCGCGTGTCCTTGTTGAACCTCATCAGATTTCTTTTGGCCCAGTCCTCTAATTTGTCTAGGTCCCTCTGTATCCTATCCCTGCCCTCCAGCGTATCTACCTCTCCTCCCAGTTTAGTGTCATCTGCAAACTTGCTGAGGGTGCAGTCCACACATAGTCGTCCAGATCATTAATGAAGATATTGAACAAAACTGGCCCCAGGACCGACCCTTGGGGCACTCCACTTGATACCGGCTGCCAACTAGGCATGGAGCAGTTGATCACTACCCGTTGAGCCTGACAATCTAGCCAACTT